CCCCAAAACCCCAAAACCCCAAAACCCCGTACAAAAAGGATACTCTGGTAATCATAGTTAGAATCATAAATATATGATAATATGGCATTTTTAATAATATTTAAGTTTTACTTTGAAAAGGATGCTGAATCTAGTTACATTTGGTATTATTCTTGCCCACGCAGGAATCGCTTACTCTGAACCTCAACTTTATGAGGTAAATGACAGAAAATTCTTGCAATAGAGTTTCACAATGCCCAAACATTTGAGTGAGGGCTTAAATACCAGACCAATTATAGGTGTGCTGACTCAACCTTTATCAGAGGATCAAAAATCTGATCACAGATACAAAGGAAAGACCTCTTATATAATGTCATCCTACATCGATTACTTAAAGAGTGCTGGAGCAAGAACTGTTCCTCTTATCTATGATGGTAATTTGGATGATGAGCTCGCCAAGATTGATCACCTGAATGGAGTCTTCTATTGTGGTGGATCAGGAGCAGGTGCATATGATGTCTTCGGCAAAAAAGTATTTGAGAAGGTAAAGAAAATGAATGACGAGGGTAATTACCTACCAATCTGGGGAACATGCCTAGGTTTCGAAGACCTAGCAATGTATGCTTCAGACAACTCAGATAAGACTTTGAGTCCATTCAATGCTGATGATGAGAGTTACTCTATTAGCTATTTAGTTCCTCCCAAGGATACCAAAATGTACTCAATTCTCGGAGACGATGCCCATGTTTTCGAGAAATATAATATCACATACAATCATCATTCATATGGAGTCAGTCCAGATGCTTTTAATCTAGATTAAGGTCTTGCATCCATCTTTACCCCAACCTCTATTTCTTATGATGATGATGGCAAGCCATTTGTAGCTTCCATGGAAAGCAAATAATATCCATTCTACGCCACTCAGTTCCACCCAGAGAAGGCTCAGTTTATCTTTTACCCAAAGACTAAGATTGATCACTCAACAATCTCTATTTTCTACAATAGATACTTCGGCGATATGTTTGTGAACCAATGCAAACAAAACAACAATCATTTCAAGTCTTACGAGGTTGAGGAATCTTTCAGAACTGAGAATTTCGGCACTGTTGTTACTAAAGCTTACGATGGTGTTGATTTTGTCTTCTGAAATCGAGAATAACCTATCAAAATCAAATTATTAAAACATTCACTTAAATTAAATCAATTAGTTGCTCAAAATCTTTTATAATATACCATTCTGGGGTTTTGGGGTTTTGGGGTTTTGGGG